AAAGCCGGTGCAATGGGGCATGGACGGAGGCTTGTACTTTCCAGTACAGTTCATAAACAGACACAATCAAACCGGCCCTGACACATTTGCAACCATCGCTTATACTAAGCCGAAAACTGAGATCTTCCTCAGCCAGTTAATTTGGAAAGCGGTTAACAAACCTGTTCAGTGTGATATAAAAATGAATAACGAATGAGCGGAGTTCTATTCACTCACTTGAAATTGTTATTTCGTAATAAATGACAAGTCTGTTCTGCGCAAAAGGTATTAGTCATTTTTATGGCATTTGTTTTTTCGTTTTCTAAAGGTCTAGAAATAGAATAGTTTAACACGTTATAATATTAATACATTCCCATGTTAATTCTTTAAGCTTAAGAATTTCGCCCGTTGCACAGATATAGCAATATTTAACAATATTGACACAGTTTTATTTGTCTCCTATGGCATGAGTCAAATTGAATTCTTATCAGTCACAGAGATGGTCTTCTGAAAGCGACCCTTGAGGTTATTTATAAGATGCATTATACTAAAGAATATATCGTACGCAGTTATTTGGAAACAACAAGTAAGTGAAATCAGTAATTGAAATTACTTATTCAAATAAGCAAAGCATATCCAGGTTGACGTTTGGAGTAACATTATATTTCTGAAATTTATTATTTTTATCTCATTGTTTTGACCACTAAATAGAGTTAACATTTATATAATGAAGATTCTGTTTGCATATCAATTATTGCAATTTATTGGTGACACAATGTATAATTTGGTATACAAACGCTTTAATCTCATAACATGCATCATGATAAAGAATACAAAAAGAATAACTAACTAATGAAAATTATCATTATCATAGCACTGCCGCAAATTGAACATAAAGTATAATAATTGAAAACAACCACGCTATACCAACAGGTTTACAATATTTTTCCACATTTTTTACTTTTTTATATTTTATTCCACATTTTATAGTCATTGTCAAGCCTTCAGTAAATATATCTTGCCGCTTTTCCAACTAGAGTAGTTACTTTATTAATTTCATTCATTTGGTTACAGTATAGAATTACTCTAACTTTTGTTGCTGAAAATGTAACATTGAGAGCTATTTTGTAGGAAATGTAAGAGAAGTAGTGTCTGTAATAAACCGCGAGATAAGAAGATATATGCTGCCAATAAAAGTGTCTCCATCATGAATTTATTCAATTAAATTACAGCATTGTTTGGCTTACAAAATCTGATAAGACTTTTTGTCATGTAAAGTGACATTAACCTGATTATAAATTTTGATAAATAGCTAGTAATAAAATGTGTTTGTAGGATTTAATCGAATATGCCTATTGAAATAGGGAGAACAACAATTTGAATAACCTACCAGCAAAGACTATTGTGTTTGGAATATTATAAAAAAAAATGTTGCCTTTTGCCTGATGTAAATTCAATTAAAAAGCAAATTTGCTTTATAAGTATGGCTTTCATATGCTTCTCAAGCACTAAACGTGTGCTATATGCTCTTTAATTTTAAATGTTAATTCGAGAATACATCTATAATAAGAAAGTCTTTCGTCCATAAACCAATGAGTTGATGTTAAAATTGTAAAGTTAATTTAATATCCTTCAAAAAACTGTAATTTTGCTGTATAATAAATTTATAGTAAAAACTTGTTCACAAGTTGTATGAGCTTCCCATTTACAATATCTTTAGAATGGTGAATATCAACATTAATCGCTAAATGCATGCATCGATATACTATCTTGATAAATTAAAATGAATCTGTATATAGCACAGCAATAAAACTTCTGTGAAATAGAGAATTTAAAATAATATTTAAAATAAAGATCACATATACTTTGTGTATTTGTTTTCTCTCCTTTCCATTTAAATTCAGTCTCATGAGTTTCCGATATATCTAATATACTTTGACAATATTACAATACCGAAGTCTTTTTTTATAGCTTATCTTGATTTGTAAAACGGATGTAGCTGATAAATTAGGAAGTACATTCCTGTAATTCATGGACATGACAGTATGTTCGTTAGAAAAATCGACATATTTCTGTTTCAGTGACAACCAATGGTTTCTGCAATAAATTTGTCAAATACCTTTGTTTGTAGGAGCATTTATCATAGTTGTCACATTCTTGAAAACATTATAGCTTCATATTATGATCAATTAGATAAGTTTAATTCCGTTAGAATGAACGCTTCCAAATTTCAATTTTACAACGGAATATCTTATGTACATAATCAATACACAATTGTTCAAGTATTGATCTATCTTAACAGATAACCATCATGCTCATGATTGGACTTCATTTCAGTTACCAAGATTATAGGAGCAGAAAAAAGAAACCAGCATGAGATGCACGCAATTGTTTTATAAACACGGTATAGGGGATACATTCAAGTATATTGGATGCGACATGTTTTATACCAGACAGTTTGCATAGTTTTTATGACAAAGTTATCTTTGAGTTGCAACACATGTGTTTACTTGTAAAGTACTAATGAAAATCCTTTTTTGCATAGACATCTTTCAAACATTTTAAATAAAAAAATCTCGTAAAATCTATAATCATTTACTTAATACCCTTATAATTATATCATAATTTCATTACTTGCGCAAATAACACATGTTGGTAATCCGCAAAATCGCATCATAAAAGTATCTGATTATCATAGTATTAAGATTGAAAATAGTGGAAGTAAAATTGCATAACAAACGTTATACATGTGCATACCTTTACTTTATAACTGCTATAGGTAGTTTGTCATCTACAACAATATTGATAGTAACAAATAATTATCTCTAGATAATTTAAGATAGTATTCTAAGCCTCGGGACAAATTAAGTTGCAAAGATAATAAGATGACATTACCATGTTGATGATGTAGAAGAAAGTATGGCTAATGGGTAAATGTGATGATTTCTTGTAACAGGTTTTAGAAATGAAAGGCCATCGTTGCGTCGAGACGAGAAATGTTTTGATACGTTATAGCCTGAAACGTTTAACAATACATAACATATTGTGATTTTCTTCAACATAACAAGCTATTACACGCCTTAGAAGAGAATACAAAAATTGAAACTTAGGAAAGAAAATTAAAAGTAAGTAAGTAAGTACGTAAGTACGTGAGTAAGTAAGTAAGTAAGTAAGTAAGTAAGTAAGTAAGTAAGTAAGTAAGTAAGTAAGTAAGTAAGTAAGTAAGTAAGTAAGTAAGTGTAAGTAAGTAAGTAAGTAAGTAAAGTAAGTAAGTATGTGAGTAAGTAAGTAAGTAAGTGTAAGTACGTAAGTAAGTAAGTACGTAAGTAAGTAAGTACGTAAGTACGTATGTAAGTAAGTAAGTAAGTACGTTATTACGTAAGTAAATTTTATTAGAGTGACATTGTAAGTAAGTAAGTAAGTAAGGAAGTAAGTGTAAGTAAGTAAGTAAGTACGTAAGTACGTATGTAAGTAAGTAAGTACGTGAGTACGTAAGTACGTAAGTAAATTTTATTAGAGTGACATTGTGCTATGTACAATATAATAAACATACATATAACAAATTACAACATCCGGCCATGTTGGGCCTATAAGTCACTTTCAACTATATATAATTCATATAAATAATAAACAGCTGAATGTGATGAGCAAACAGAATGACCAAACAACATTATGTACTACTATAATGTATTGAAATAATTAGTTTTATGAACAACATCAATTGGTATCTAAGTTTATTGTTTGTTATAAATAATATACATCTACATAGATACAATTAGCAATTAAGATCAGTAGAACAATGAAAGATAGAAATTTATGCTCACCTATTTCATATAATTAGATGTTAAAAATCAAAAGGCCATAATTCTACCAAAAAAACATGGCACATGATCACAAAACTTGTGTGAAACATTAAAGTTGAAAACCTTGTTTCGTCGCATGTCAATGTTTCTTGTTATGACAATAAAATAAAAATCAACATTAAAAGATATTTGTTTTGACAATAACAATCATTCTTGAATTGTTTGTTCCCAGGAAGCGATTGCAACATGGTTAATTGAATCTAAAACGAGCTATTAAATAATTGTGAAAGAGAACATTGAAAACTGCTAATTTTATCTATACTATAACGTTCAATGCCTATATCCCCACAGACTTGACTATTTATTGTAAAAGAAGATTTAATAATGATTCGTACATTTCTTTTTTTATAGGATTTATAAGAAACTTTAAGTTTTTACTTGATAAATAAGGTTCAGACCAAAATTAAATAAATAAGGTTCAGACAAAAATTATAATAATATTCCTAATTCCAGATTAACACTAGCATCATTGATGTTTAACATAAATCACCGCGAAGTAAAATATTTAAGTTATTCTTCGCGTTCTTTAAAGCTTCACTATGCTGTAAATCAAACAAATCTTGTTCCAGTTTTAATCATCGTATCTGAACTTTGAGATTGTTAAGCTATGATAGTGTTATCTCAGACGACAGTGATATAATTTGCATTTTATATGAACATGAATTATACCAGTTTTGGTTATTTACTTATCTTTGACTAACAGTTCTTATTTCTTTTATCTTTTTTAAACATTTTGCTCGCTTTTGACGTGAAAAATCAAACAAACCGATTGCCAATGTCAGTGCAGTTAAGATTTGCTGTAAAAAAAAATAAAAGATTCGATAAGTCATGAACCAGATAAAAATTTAGAATCATTGGCAATGGTAATCATTATAACCGTCCAGTGAACAGGACAACAATTAGACATTTATAAATACTGTTGTTATGGATTAAAACACTTAAAAACAATTTCAAGCGTTTAATGTACATGCACAAGAATGAGCACTAAATGTAGGTTGTAGGTAAACAGCAATCAAACATAATAAATGCAAAACGAATATATACATTATCAATTATCTAATAATACATTAAAAGCTAGTTTTTTCTTTTCTTTTAAAGTTAAAATATAATAAAAATCATTCAATTGAAAAACTGATACAGATAATTTATATATTACATGCAAAGTTAAGCGAATGATTTAAGAAAGTGACAAAATTAATAAATATATCAAGGCATTTTGAAACAAATTTGATAAAATATATACAATAAAAATACAATACAATTAAATGCATCGGCTACACGCGTCCTTTTTCTTCTTTTCAATGTTATTTTGTGCTATCCTATAATTTACTATATGATAAATAAATCAATAATGTAAATTTAATTAAATATATTGTGAAATATTTGATTATATGAATACACACATATCCACACTTACAAAAAAAAGAAAGAAATAATATATTTTTCCGGCGGCAAATGAAATACCTGCATTTGAGACGAAAACCACATATGCATGTATTATGAATGATCATAATGTTAAGTTCACATACTCTGTGAACTTCATATCTTTCGTCCGTTAACAGGTCAACATTTTGTCGTACATTATTGATTTTTATCTTTGAAAAAATTCTGAATGTCTTTTGTTACAACAAAGGAAATGCCAAGTTCACTTGGCACGAAATGTGACTTGCTTTGTATTAACATATTGTCGACAATAGTTTTTGTTGTATTTGTCAAACCATAGTGTCAAAGAAAGACCATGATAAATTGGGAAATAGAATAAATTGACATTGATATTATTCTTAGAACAGATTTGTTGTCGGCCGCATTTTCATTTTCTTTCAATTTCGAAACAATCTTTTCATGTACTGTCCCAGTCGGTATGTGTATATTTGTCATGCTAATGCTTTCGGCTAATGTAATTCAAGACATTTCTTTCTCTTGCCATAAGTGTACATAATAAAACGTTTCAAAGCTTTTGTTGCGATTAGCCTCAAGTTACATTTTCTATTTTACTATCATTGTGTAAACTATATCTGATACGTCTACCACCTTATTGGAACGATACCTTGAAGCTTGACAAATTGTCTGAAATAACTCTTCGAGATACCGTCAATATTGACGGAAATGGTTTTGAGATAAATAAAATTGGTCGAAATTAGTATTATTCTGTGTAGATGTAGATTTATTTTCAAAGCAGAAATAGTTGTGAAAATATTGTTTAGATATTCAATATATATAATTTTTATGGATATTATTTAAAGGCACATTATTCCTCTTGAACGATTGAATTTTGACTTCTTTACAAAGGGCAAACATGAGAAGTTTACCGTTTAAATAATGGTTTTAGAGCATTTTCGATGCTTGTTACCTGGGGAAAGTAGCTCTAATTATGAGATTATTTGTCATAAAATTAGCAAAATGTAAATAAAGTAGTATTTTGACGTCCATACAAACTATTCAATCTCTATGATGGCTTAATTGTTAAAATGCAACAGATGTAATAGATTGCTCAGGTAATTGGCCAATGAGCATTTTTTTTGAAACTATAAAAGAACCCAGAAATAAAAAAAAAGAAACAAAAAGCTTTTGAAAAATTAACGTAAAAGTATTTTTGTGGCGTAATTGGCCTTTAAACAGTATTTGTATTAAAAGAAACGAAATTTAAAAGTAAACAAAATTTACTTATTTACCGTCCCCGAATTTTACTAAACGTACTTGAATTTTACTATACGTCCCTAAGAATTTATCAAACGTATATAAAACTTAATACACTTACACGAAACCTACTAACTGAACTCCCCGAATCCTACTCTGGCTATAATGAAATTACTAAACATATTAAAAACCAATTTTATTGTAAATAGTATTTATGCGCCGTCAACTCGTAAGATTTGTGTCAATTGTTTCAGCGAAACATCAATTTAGTTGCTTTAAGTGAATTAAAACTATATGGTTGATAGAAAATTCCAAACCAATAACCCTTTGGATGTTGAAAACCTGGGGTTGCATATTCTCCATTCAAGTTGACACCGCCACACTGATTATACCACCACGCTCCATGTTGTCCTTGTGCACAATTTTCAGGAAGATAGGGGTCGCGGTCGACGTCTTTTGTGGTAAAATGCATACCGTTCAGATATGACATTCCCAAGTCTGAAATATCATCACCTGAAGAAAATGTGGAACTAACTTTAACATTGTTAGTATTTATAAAGTTTAAATAAGCAGAATAGAAAGATATAACAGTTCATTTGTATGACAACTTATATTGGCGGTTATATTTCGTACTTGGTTTTATTTGATACTGTTTGGTTGATGACATATATGATATGAACAGTCTGGCGTACGAGGAATGTGAACTGTCAGTCGGAAGGATCCAGCAATAGCAGTGACACGATCCGGTGAGTAAAGTACATGCCAAATAACCCTTGATTTTAGTCGTACTTTAATGACGACAGTACTGGTTAGCTTTAGAAAGCGAAGACGAAAGTAATAAGTTTTAGAAATAAATAGGTTTCACAACCTAGTTAAAAATGCACAAACTAAACATGCATTACGACTTGTTTGAAAACTACGGTTTATTTAGGAGCATAAATAGCCTTTCAATATATTGTAATTGCTTATATGTTTTTTTTTGTAGTTAGACTGTATTGTTAGTTGCCATCTGTGGAAAGTCTGCAACATAGAGAAAAACAGAATTATAGAAGAACATCCAAAACGACAAATCCATGGACAATACTGGAAAGTTAAAGTTACCGTTCTAGCGCTCTAGCTACGGCTAAAGCAAAATTCAAAGTTCAATCATGAAACTAGTGCAATTTTGAATTTAGGAACATCCGCAGGTGTGTCATACGGCGGCTAGAATAGGTTTTAATAATAAAGTTGGAATACCTGAACCACTCATGTTTAAAAATGTTAAATAGAAGGAGAAATGAACACTAACATGCACCCACAACATCAATGTCGTCATCGATCTTCAAGGATCGAAAATAAAACATATCTGAAGTGATTTTTTACAGCATCCATACGTCACATACTATAAAAGTGGCAAAAAAAAGAGAAAAACATAAGAAAAAAAGTAAAATAAAAATAAATATTAAATAAATAAATAAATACAAATGTCCGTCATTTTAACAACAAACTATGCGCCAAATGTACGGGAACAAGCCAAAATATTTAATCAACATACAAGCTTACATTTTAAAGATACTGTAATTCACCTTATGGTTTTATATCATAAATATAACGCTCAAATGAAGATTAATCAAATTATAAGTTCCAAAAAAGCATTACTTTTAAAGATAATATCATATAACCGAATTTACATTTCTTGTTAATAAAGGAAGGTTATTAGAAAAATATTTTCTATAAAGTCTAAGTCAATTTTTTCAATACGAAATGAATGTTTTTATGTTAATGATTACACATAATGTGGACAAATATTTGCAGTACATATTTTACATATTCTTCGATGTTTGGAAACTGTTTTAGAAGCAAAATAATATACATATATAATGTTTCACTTAAGTGTGGTAACCACTATAATTACAACATACAGGATGTCGTTTTGGGCATTTATTAAGAATTCCGTTTTCCTCTATTTCATGTTTGAATAAGCTTCAAGTCTCTCGTGCATTATTTTCGATTCCGTAAAACGAAAACAAATTACCGGCCGTTCCTTGCCCGGGATCAAGATGGATTGTGTACTCTGGACCAGCGTCAAGATGAAAGTTCTGAAAAGTTTCATAAACTGTTGTTCCATCACCATCTGTTAGGTCCATTCTAAGTTCAATTGGTCCATTTGATACTATTTCCTGCATAATCCCGAGACCTGGATAATGAATTAAAAATTTGTTCTTAGTAATAAATGATTATACTGTTTTTTTAAAGTACTTTGTATAAACATGCCACATGGAAATATAAATTAAAAATAAACTAAATATCATGATAGCAGAATAACTTATTAAGGAGTTTAAAAAAGCATACCTCCATATTGATGCTAATTTTTATGAAAATTGTAATGAAGATGTTGTGAAGTGAGCAAAGAAAGTAATACACTTATTGTAATCGGTGCCACTTAAATTACCATAAAAGATTATAAAGTATGCAAAAATAGCCCTTACTGCGTAAGAATCACAGCAGAAATACTTAACAAGTTAATTATTACATGAATCTTGATTCTTTTTTACTTTTCTTAAAATCTGAGAACATTTTTCTCATCTCAAGTTTTTCTTAAAATATGTTTGCTCATCTGGAGGCATGCAACTTTATGTCAATTGTTTATCATTTAATATAAACTTACCTAGCCAGAACTCTGTAAACAGATTTCCAAATCCGTTTTCGTAGTCCGTCGAATTTCTGTAAAAGTCTATAGAACCATCAAAGCGATTCTGAAAGACCTGAAATGTACAGAAGCGATAAAAACAACGCCAGAATCGTTAAATTATAACAAACAAAATAATATGTATTTCATCGCCTTTCAGAACTACAATATGACATTTAACATAGAAAAAGCATTTAAAAACAGAATCCCTTAAGAAAGCCCATGTTGAAATGCAGAAAATGTTGCAGGCTCTGTTTGATTGAGCCTATTCATGGCGCAAGTTACCGTCTACGCCCCCTAGCACCGGCTTAAGCAGTTTTTAGTGAGTCAACATAAGGACAATTTAAATCACACAAGAACATCCAAAACGGCAAAATTGAAAATCTCAATTATATTACAATTATATGAACCAGTTGTTAAAAACTGCTTAAAACCTTAATAAATAGCATAATGATATTATTGTAACCTTGTAATATTTATGACAAAAAATGTTTTTAGAAAGCAAAAAATAAGGCCTAATGAATGTAAATTACAAACTCTGTTTGATTGATATGTAATGACCATAATACATTACAAGCTAAGAAACGCCGATGGTATCACAATAAAAAAGGAGGGAAAAATATATACATTTTTATTATAGTCAATTAGTTTAAAGGGTAACAACAGTATGCATATCAATTTGTTTTGTCTAACATCACATTACAATCGCAATTTAAAGTTCATAAATTATGAAATTCAGATACATCCATTGCTTCCCAAGAGACGAAATTTGAGTAAAGCAATCATTTACACTTTTTACGTCAAGCTTCATTTCGTGTCAAATATTGAACTGCAAAAAAAGAGCCACTGAAAGCATATTGTTTTTGTTAAATACAAAATTAACCACAAAGAATATCAAACTTCTGTGAATTTGGAAAATATCTACTGACTATGGGTTCAATCAAACAGAGCCTGTAACATTTTCATTTTTGTCGTGTTGGGCTTTCTGTAGGGATTCTGTTTTTTCTATTGTATTATCTTATTAAACATTAAAGATCCTGTATGTTGTATTTAATGTTGTTACCACACTTAAGTGAAATTTTATATATGTATATCATTATGCTTCTAAAACAATTTTCAAACATCGAAGAATATGTAAAATATGTATTGCAAATATTTGTACACATTATATGAAATCATTAAAATATATGCATTTATTTCTTATTGAAACATTTGACTTAGACTTTGAAACTTACAATATTGATAACTCTTTATTAAGCATTATATTTATTATATAAAACCATAAACAATTGTGTTTCTGAATCTTTAAATGCTGCCCGGAAACTTTCATTATACCAATAGCTTATACCTATAACATAATTTTGTCACACGACTGGGGATTTTCTACAGACACATTACTAATTGAGAAAGGAACAAAATGGTCGCTCGTGTACATGCTCATAAGATTGTGTAAAACTTAATTCACCGACTTCCCCAGTTCAAGATTTCCTTACCGTCCATCCTCCACCGTCTGTGTCCATGTCACAGACAACTGTTACAACTTTACTTGTCTTCCATAGTCTTATTACATGTTGACCGCTAGTTGCAGCAGGATTTAAACGAAGGATTCCTTTGCAGTCAGTCGCTGAACATATATGTATAGAAGAAAAATTTTATAAACTTATAAACCCATTCAAGAATATCAAAATGTAGACTTTGCACATACATTAAGCAAATTTCATGAATAATTAAACATGATTCATTACTTCTACAAAGAAACTAGCTCACTTAATGGAATGTTTAACAGAGTAATGTACCCGGAACAAATAATACTTACGATACTACGACAGCCTTATACATATACATGTATGAAATGTCTGAGATCAAAGGAATTGTTAGCTTTTACATATCAATACAAATTCATATAACTTCGGATAACTTTTACATTCACATGAACGAATAGATCACATTTCCGAATTTAAATCATACGTAACCTCATAAGAGCAGACATATTCATCGGCTCTACTTCAGAAACCCATATATTGCATATACGATACACGGTAATGTTAAACATGAGGGAACGAACAACTTTTTTTATTGTAATGCTATTCCCTTTAAAATACAATAAGCATGTACCTAGTTTTTCTCTGCAACTGTGACTGCCTTTTCTGTTGGAGCATTTTTGATTTTCTAGACATGGCTGATTTCCACAAGACCCAACCATCTTCTGAAATAAAATGAAATTGATTTTGTGCTCAATTTAAGCTCAATAGAAACTTGCAATACATAAAATGTTATATATCAAATACTATTTTTATTTGTATGTTACAGGAGGCGAGACGATTGGAAAATTCCCATATACGATATGCAAGATATAACACGAACAAAACAGTTCGAACAACAACACGAAATATAAAAAAAAACAAGATTAACTATGAAGGGTGTCATTCAATGAAAGCATCTCCCCTCACTGGACCACTTATTTTAAAACTGTACTTGTTTGTAACACAATACAAAGATCTCGAAAATGAGTGATGACATGAAAATTCCGGACTCGTTTTGATTGAGTCTGTACATAAGGGATAATGAAAAGGTGCAACATCCCCAAGCCGCCAATCACCGGCTTGAGCAATTCTCATTTTGCAGCACTTAAAGGTTTGGAAACAATGAACCCGAAAGGCGAGGAATATATAACAACACTGAAGTGAAGTACAGGGAAACATTTAACAGCTGCCACACAACACTTGTTACCTGTTGTCGTGAACTATAAAAGTCTTGAAACAAAACACTCAATATGTAGAAACTGTTTCTGGTCCTAAAACAAAACATGCACTTATTTAGAAACTGTGTTGCAGCGTAAAGTGACACAAACAAGTATTTAAAGAACTAAAATGATAAGACATTTAAATCGTTTTATCATTTCACACTGTCAAAATAACATAAAGTATATAATTTTGAAGATTATCTTGATACTTGGATATTAATAAAATCTCAGTCGTTCTTCTCTATCTGAATGTAACAAAATGTCGTAGATAGTGTAACAGAAATAGAATTCAATTCATTACAATTTTATAATAAAAAGTAACAATTTAAAAGATAACATGTTTTTGTTACGTATATGGTGTAACTTTGAAATAATCGACATATCAATTATAAAATCTTAACTTTTTATAACTAAATTGATTTAATTTAGAAACTGGCGTCGGATGTCTAGTAAGGTATGACCATCCTAATGCATTTTTCCGCTTTGAAAGGTATTTAAAAGGCTAGAACTACGGTCAATCACATTGACATTTAAGGCCGTGGAAGGGTCGAAGTTTTTTCTTCTTTTTTTTAAACTATGTATCTCTCATATCCCCCAGGAAAGAAAAAAGTGTTTAATTTTTAGTTATTTAGTTAATATAGGTAAATTTGGTACTTGATATTTTCAAAGTGATGTAAAAGTGATCTATTGGAAGCATTAATCACAACAAAATTGCATGAAAATTGCAGTCTCCCTCTTAGTCCGTTAGATGTACTCAAAAGAGGAAAGCGTAGCGCCCAACTGAAAAATGGTTGAACAAATTGTTTGTTTGTTTGATTTTACGCCTTTTCCCAACAATATTTCAGTCACATAGGCGGGTAGTTTGCTAACCATTGTTAACCAGTACTAGACTACCTTCCTCCGCGCTAAAATACCAAAGCATCTCCCGGGGATCGAACCTACGCCAGAGAGGTAACTGGATTAGAAGTCATCGACTCTAACCCCTCGACCACGGAGGCGGATGAACAAATAATTGGGTCATAAACTCTTTTAATAAATCATTTGGTTATTTTAGTTAAGACAGCAGAAAAATTAGTATTACTCAGCAAACCAAGCCTGCATCATTTTCAATTTTACCGCGTTGGGCATTCTTGAGGGATTCTGTTTTTCTCTATTTAGAGTTCAGTGAACGTCTCTCTCCCATTAAGATCTTTTTTCATGTTGTAAAATATTCTTCATTTGCATTTTATTCAAATCCAAAGTTTTAGTAAAATAAGATGAAAACATATTTCAGCCATATCTACAAAAAAAAAAAAAACACAAAAAAAAAAAAATGAAAAAAAAATAACAAAGCAAGGACAACGTTCAAAGGATGCAGCCCCCGACACACCAAAGTAGGCACCAAAACCAAAATTCAAGTTTATTAACATAAAACTTACTAGTTTGAGTGCTTCTTTATTGAAACATTATTTGAATATTACTTAAAGCTACATGCCTCCAGATAAGCCAAAATATTTCAATAAAATCAAACTTAACCGCCGTATGAACACATCTGCGGATGTTTCTAAATTCAAAATTTCGCCATTTTCGTGTTTAAATGTTGAATTCTGCTTAGCCGGTGCTAGGGGTCGTGGACGGTCACTTGCATATTCCAGTACTGTTCATGAACGGGCTCAATTAAACCGAGTCTGCAACATTTTCAATTTTGCCGTGTTGGGCTTTCTTTAGGGATTCTGTTTTTTTCTATTTTACAAAAATATTACTTAGACTTAAAGAATGTAAGATTCAAGTAATAATTGACATGTTATATGTGGTTAATTGCTGATTTTTTCAATATTATGACTATATTTTTACTGCGTTACTAAGCGCTTTGTGCACATTTGTACCTCATTGTAGTAGTTTACGTGAATTAAAGTGCAATTAATTAGGTGCAAATTGCATCCTTTTTGTCACTACACATTATTTTACGTTTACACATATTTTAGAATTTTTCATAAAAATAAACATAATCTAGAGGCGTGTTGGTTTAATGAACAAAAAACAAACAAACACATAACTGAGATAGAGCAGCTAGAGAATACCAGTTCAGGCTAATGGGAGGCCCACATGTCCATCGATCAGGCTATTCAATATATTATTATTATATTCTCATTTAATACAACAAATACTGTAAATGAGTCCCAGTGAATACCAATCACCTATCTGTTATACATTGACAATATCCCATGCACATGAAATATCAGGTGCAACAGTGTGTGTATCCCAATATTTATTGGAATGCGTTTTCTCCAAGTTTGAATCCAATTCAACTAAAATTGAAAAAATTACAATTTGTAACAAAATTTAATAAAGAAATTGAGCATGTTAGTAAGGTACAGGAAACGATTGTAATCTTTCTTTGGGCCTAATTTCATTTCATGGGGAAAATTCTACAAATGACCCTGCAGAAAGATTAATAGAATGACGCAATATGGTGTCCAAATTCTAGAGCTGAAAGATATTAACGCAATCAGAAGATGAATTCATTTAAACCACCGCATTAATTGTGAAAACTAAATAGTTCCAGAAATATATTTTGTTCTATACAATTGAACTTTGCCATCGTGCAGCAGTGTCTAGTGAGGTCCTATTTTAGCATGTCAAATGAAAGACAGACAATGTGTAGATATGTATACTGTTCACATACAAAGCACAAGCCCCTAAAATGGGCCAATTGAAATGACATGAGCAAATGTAAGTGTGACTGTGATCGTAAGGATGCGACATTCCAAATTTGTGGTAAATCTGCCCAGAAGTTTCAGAGAAGATGATGATTGTTCACGCATGACGACGGACGCCGGACCATCCCCCTTTGATACTAATAGCTCACCGTGAATCTTCGGTTCTGGTAAGCTAATAAAGGGGATAAGGTGTCTGCCTCTCAACCCATGGATCATGTGGTCGAGCCCTAATCGGGTCATGACCATGTTTCTTCATATGACACCAGTACAGTGTAATTCCAGGAAGCGGACTCGAAAGTGATAGATA